TGAAATGGGAATAATGCTACTGATGGCTCCTGTAGCATTCCTATGAGCACATCAGAGGAAAAGCACTAGATACGCTCTAGGGATTATATTATAACTATCACCAGCATGGGCTGTAGTGACTGTGCTTGCTCATGCAGGGTTCTCTTGGGTTATGGCCTCTGCATACCTGTAGCAGGAGGGGGAGGGATGCAGAACAATATGTAGACCTACAATTCACTCCAGGCAAATAGGCCCCAGCACACAGAGCCTTATAGAGCTAGTACAGGCTCAGAGACTCATATTTGACCCTTGGCTGGTGACTGATTGCCAGTACATCCCACCCTGGATTTGACTTAGGCATGTTGCTTTAAGTGTCCCAAACACTCATGGCTGACCTGCAAGAGAGTCACCATGGTGGAACCAGGGTCTGTCTTGCTTGCTGGAAGTAGTGATCCAGCTAGGTACCTATTGCTAATTAATAATAATAGCTCCTGGCTCTCCAGGATGGGTTCTGAACACATGGCTGAGAAGGCGGCTTTGCAATAGCTCAACACCTCACAGGAGTACTACCCCCAACTTCTGCTCCCAAAGGTTTGAGTTCCCTTGGCTGGCATGGAGCATAGACTCAGAGAAGGTTGGGAGAAACCCCAGCTCAATCATCCCTGCCAGGGCTTTGCCAAGCCTGGCCTTAAAACCAGTAAGGATGAAGATTCCACCATCTCCCTAGGTAACTCATTCCAGTGCTTCACCACCCTTCTAGTGAAACAGGTTTTCCTAATATCCAATTTAGACCTCCCACTGCAACTTGAGACCATTGCTCCTTGTTCTGCCACCTGTCACCACAAAGAACAGCCTCTCTTGAACCCTTCAGATAGTTGAAGGCTGCTATCACACCTCTCCTTTATCTTGTCTTCTATAGACTACATTTATCCAGTTCCCTCAACCTCTCCTCCTAAATCATGTGATCCAGCCCCCTAATCATTTTGTTAACCTTTGCTGGACTCTCTCCAATGCGTCCACATCCTTTCTGCAGCAGGGAACCCAGAACTGGACACAATACTCCAGGGCTATGTCTACACTGCAGGCTTTTTGCGCAAGAATGGCCATTCTTGAACAAGAACTTGTGGCGTGTCTACACTGCACTCGTGTTCTTGTGCAAGTAAATTTACAGTAAAGCATCAGAAGAGAGGACATCTTGCGCAAAAGTAATTCCTCTCCCCACGAGGAATAAGCCCTCTTGTGCAAGAGCTCTTGCACAAGAAGGCAGTGTGGACAGGAACGGGTTTCTTGCACAAGAAACCCCTACGGCTAAAATGGCCATCAGAGCTTTCTTGCGCAAGAGAGCGTCCACACTGCCATGTGCTTTTGTGCAAGAGCGTCCATGGCAGTGTGGACGCGCTCTTGCACAAGACCTTTCGTGCATGAACTCTTGCACAAAACAGTTCTTGCACAAAAATCCTGCAGTGTAGTTGTAGCCCAGATGTGGCCTCAGCAGTGCCAAACAGAGGGGGATAATCACTTCCCTGAGTCTGCTGGCAATGCTCCTATTAATGCAGCCCAGTATGCTGCTAGCCTTCTTGGCTACAAGGGCACAGTGTTGACTCATCTCCAGCTTCTCATGCACTCTAATCCCCAGGTCCTTTTCTGCAGAACTGCTGCTTAGCCAGTCAGTCCCCTGGGATTCTTTCCCCTCCTCCCAGCACCTTCCTTTCAGGGTTCTGTCACCCAAGTCCTAGTATACAGAGCAGTACATACCTTCTGCTTCCTAGGAGATGTCCTTGAACACTAGACTAGACGTAGCTTGGTGCAATCAAGTAATAAACAAAGGGTTTGATTCTGCTCTCATCTGTGCTGGTGTAAGTCAGGGGTCTCTGAAACATCAGAATCTAGCATGCAAGGGTAGGTGCATGCCTGAGCTATCAGAAAGCCAATGGCATGACTGGGGCTGGCCTGGGACACAGAAAAGGCAAGTCTCCTGCATATTGAATCAGAGCTCTGGCTTTGTCCTCATCACCTGAGTAGCACTTATCGTACCCCCTGCCACCGTTCATTACACTCCCCAGCTGACTGGCTACTAGAGGGCCCCACATTCTATGTACACTCCAGCAGAAACTGAGTGTTATTGTCCCAGGAGTAAAAACTAACAGATACCCTTAGTGCTAACTGCTACTAATGAGAGCGTATGTTTAGACTGTATTGCTATTTCAGGATAGCAGAAGTATCCCAAAATAACAACACCACATCTTTAAAAGCGCCCACTATTTCCCAAAATAGGAGGTGCGCTATCCCAGCATCCCTGTAACCCTTGTTCCACAAGGGCTAAGGGATTTGTCAGAATAGGGCCTTATTTTGACTTAGATTCGGAATAAACTACACAATTTACATAGTGTAAATTACATAGCTTATTCCGATAGAAGAGTGCTGTCTAGACGCACCCTAACTGACCAGCCAACTTGACATACCACAGAGGGAGCTGTCTTGCTTACGCTGTTTGCTTAGACTGTTCTCAACAAGGTTAAGACTCTGAACATTCTCTCCAGACATGTGTACCCATAAAGTCGATGCTTTGTTTATCTCCTAGCAGACCTTTGGTCTGAAATAAGGCAGATGTATGCTGGTAACAGGAGGGGTATGTCATGAGCAGCTGAGCACTGGAACTGGGAATGTGTGTTTACTGTGGAATCAGCGAGTGCATGTGGGTATCCAATGCATGGTAGGGCAGACACGTGAGCTTAGGTCAGGATGTGTGTTCACATGGACTTAACCCGTGCTCACTGACTGCTGAGGGCTGCACGTAGCAGTAAGTGGCCCGTGTTTATCATGTAGGCATCTTTGAAATGGCACGAGAGGCATCAGCCATGAGATTCTGACCAACCAGCTGCTGGCAGGATGCATTTGTCAGGCTTTTATTAATGCACAAAAAGGGAAACTGCCACGTTAAAATTCTTATTTTGAAAAGCAAAACAAGTGCCCATCTGCGGTGATTCAAAGGATGGGTGGGCAATAGTTTGGATAGGGGCCACTCCAAGAATTTGGTAAATGGTCACAGGCCACATGTTAATGGAGGTTGGGAGCAGAAGGAGCTCAGAGTAGGGGATTGAGGTGCAGGAGGGAGTGTGGGGCCAGGAAGTTTGGATGAAGGAGGGGTTTGTGACCTGAGGCAGGAGATTGGGGTGCAGGGTCAGGGAAGGGATATGGGTGCAGGAGAGACTCTGACCTGGGGAAGGGGTGTTCAGGATCTGGGAGTTGTAATTATGGGCAGGGGTTCAGACTGTGAGGGTAATGACTTGGGGCAGAGTCAGAGAGAGAATGGAGTGCCAAGTGCAGGCTCTAGCCATGAGGTGCCAAATGTGACCTGATAGTGCCTCTGATGGAGAGATTTCTGGCGACGGCTAGGGA